CTTGAACCCTGAGTTATGCTTCTGAGAGATTTTTAACTGTCTCAGCCAACTTCTTCTAATGGAAAAATGTGACATCTAATTATACATACAAAAAATGCTTGGTGTTTGCAGACAGTTTAATCCTACTGCAGGTGAAGGACTTCCTTCCTTTATTTACATATCAGATAAAACACTGGTTCTGTTTAAAAAATATCAAGTTTCCATTGACTTTAGCCACTTCACCATGTTGAACACAGCAGTCAAAAATAGATGTAGTTTCTGTAATATGACAGAAAAGTTGTATTAAATACAAACTTTATAATCCTTTCTCTCTCAAGTTTCTGAAAAGTTACAATGGTTCTCTATATCCCTTGAAATCACCTCTTGAGCAAGGACAAAAGTACTATTGTCTGCACATGATGGTATCTGTGAATGTTTCTAAAAGTTCATCTCTCCATTTTACCTGAGAATTTTGATCTCTTAAGCATTCTCAGAGCACATCCACCTTACTGATTAAACTTGACACAAAACCAAGATGATGGTACTATCTTCTTGCAATTAGAATTGTTCAGGGTGTTTGACATATGCTTAACTCTTTTTTCCCAGCCTTTGCCAATTAGCAGCTAAGAAATTGAGTATTCCTTTAAAAAAAATGGTGTTTAACTATCCTGTAAGGGTGGATTGAAAACTCTATCTTCATCCTCAGATGTTTTGTAAAGTTTGTGCCCTGAGAAGCTGAAGCTCATTAAGTGAAAGAAACAACTTAGACAAGAGTTCCTGTTTTCTTTATCAGCACTGTAATGATCAAGGTAATGGAAGATGGGCTGGTGACAGCAGTGACAGTTCCTCTTCTCCACCTACTTCTCAAAGAACAGGATCATGTCCTTTCATTTTTCATTCACGCATCTAATTCCTCAGGAAGCTTTCGCCCTATGAGTCCCTGGCAGTATTTGCCACCAGCTTTTTATCATAAGTCCTAAATAGGCATGATTCAAACCATGGCATTTCCATGTGGCTGTCTCCAACTGGCTCTTGGCTTAGCCTGCTAGTCTTCTTGGTTTCCAAGAGAGCTCCAATTTCTTGTAAGTGAAACCTAGGTGATAGCTTATGACTCACACATAGAAGTACCTAACTCTAGTCACAAATTGTCTTTTGAGAGAATAGCTCTGAAACCTTAAATTATTTTTCAGTTGTTGACAGCACATCACAACACTTCCGTGCAATGTCTTTCCTGTACAATCCTCTTGCTACCCTAGTTCTCAACATATTTTACATCAAAACACATCCTCTGCCTGGTTCTCTGTGAAAGCTGATTTGTTACTTTTACCAAAAAGTGCAGCTTTTAACATTAGACATTATCACTTAAACTTTTGATCTTGTCTTTGGTCTCTTTTCTGCTTAGAAATATTTTCATCATATGCTGCTATAGTAAATAAATACTAGTTTCTGAAGACTATTAATCCAGCAGTTAAATGCACTTACTTTACTACTATGGTATCAAAAAAAAAAAAAACTCCAAAAGAAATATGAAGTGCCCATTAATAAACTAGATTAAAATTCTTCTCAAAAGTTGTTCAGTGTCTGATTGGGGCCCCCCAAAATCTACTAAATATGATTAGTCTAAATGTTATTGACTTTCAATACATTCAGTGGGGTATATCTCATTCTTTTACTTTGTACAAAGTACTTTGCAGGCTACACCATGCTCCATCTGCTATTGTGCCATCTCAAAACAAGAGGGACAGTGGGATAACTCATGTTAAAATCACATGGATGGCATTCAGCTGAGTACATGCAGGCTCCTACAATGTAGACATTTACAGCTAAATGAGACACCCGCTGGTTCTGTTACAGTCAACGGAGAGAAACAGGCATTTCTAGGATGCAACTTGGCTTATTCTAACGTAGACATCTAAAATAGGTTAGATGAATCACACACCAGAAGTGCCTATTTCTGGTTCTCTTTATGCTCAGTGGAGAAAGTGACTAGCTCAGATGCAGACATTCACATAGTAGACATCTAAAGTTAGGTGAGATGAACAACCAAAGATGTCTTTCCACATTCATTTTAAATGTCTCTTTAGGAAAAATATGTCAAAGAATTATTTTCAGCTAACACTAGCCTGCGGCAGCAGCTCTCTGGCCACAGAGAGAAACACAACTCTCCTCAGCATCATTCTGGGGAAAGTCTGTGAGAAGATCAGAGAAAAGAATGAGAAACAATTCTTATCCTAACTTGCTACACCTGGTATTGTGAACACGTGGAATGTATTACAGAGATTTGTTTATCAAAGGGTGGTTTCTTAATTAGCCAATAGTGACAGTGTTTAGATTGGAGGACCAATTAGGTTCACCTGCAGTAAACTAGGTGGACCTAGCTTCATCATAAAAAGCTTCATCATAAAAGCATGAGTTTCTTAGTAAAGATTATTTATCAGCCTTTTGTAAATACATGGAATCTATGTAACTTATCACCCAGCCGGGGGCCCCTTACAATGACGCTAACCTTTACCAAAGTATCATTTCTCTGAGTATTTTATTTGTAACCTCTTCCTAAAAACACTTTTCAAGATCCAGATCACAACTGATACCCATCACAGACAAGTTTTTGATTTTTTTTCCTTTATCACAATAATGCAATCATTAATCAATTTTGTATGTCAAATAAATGTGTTGTGTACCTGATCAGTGCTTCCCTAAACAAAGTGTACAAAAACTCCAACAGATCAATATAGAAGAAATCAATAGATGATAGCTAATTAAACCAAGGTCAGTAATAAAGGAAAATGAAGCATAAGACTATGCTGGAAACTGCCCATCCATAAATATAATTGCAGCAAAGTGAGAAGAAAGGCTACAGAAAGTACTATGATGATTACAGAAAGTATGCAAAGCAGCAGAGAACTCTGAAAGCTAATATTCCTTCAGCCACAAAACTTCTGCTTATCATAATGGCTGTTGTTGTCTGTGCCACCAAGCTCACCTGCTTCTTTTTGCTTGGTGCCACATTCCTACTGTCACTATGGGTAGTAGTCATCCAGACTAGCAGAAGCCATCACCAGTAGCTCCTAGCTGTATAAATCTTCGAATTAACTTGTTTACTAATAATGTTGCCACAATTTGGAAATATCTACTTTGTGCTATTGAATGTGTTTATCTGTTATGTAATATTAAAAAAATATAGATTTAAAATTCTCAAAGGAATCACAATGGTGTAATCATATGAGCTGCAACACTTAAGCTTCATCATACATCAGTAAAGCTGTTTATTATATCAGTATAGAGTTGGTTTTTATGCCCTCCCTGCTACAGTAAAGTCTCTTCATTTACACAGGTCTTGTGGTCGAATTTCCACCAAGTTGTTTGCCACAGCCCACTGGTTTGCCCACTGCAAAGTATCGTATGCTGGCCATCCAGATACTAACCAGATCTTTGATCCTCCATTTCAAGAAAGGTAAACTTTCAACTCAGGTATTTCCCCTCAAGTGTCCTGCAGTTCTACAGTCTGCCTCCTGAAGGTTTGGCTCACCATGTTGCCCATGGAATACATTGGGGATGCAAACAAACAGAATTTCTCAGACAGCTTTCTATCTGCATTTTATACCTATATTTGCACAAAGCCAGGAGTGGCTACACAATCTCCTGATGGAAGACAATATTGTGGAAGAAAAGTCAGGCAATATCCTAGCATTTTAAGGCCATCTCTGTGTATGTACACTGATGCACATTTAATTAGACTGTAGTGTTTTTGTAGTTAAATAAATCAGCTGGAAACATAGGGTTGTATAGCAAAAAAGAAAATGTTAGCATACAAATTAAAGAACATTGGAACACGTCTCTATATAAAATGTTTTTTCTTCACATTAATCTAATCTTCTTTGCATACTCTGGTCTCAAACATTAATATCCTGGCGTCAGATTGATAGGAGTTTGAATATCTCCAAAGTCTGAAGCAGTAATGTCTGACTTATCGTTCAAACCTTTGATATTTATATTCATGTGCTATATCATTTGCAGAATCTGTTATTCATCTCAAGTGTTGTTTTCAGAAGGTCAGATGTTCAGATTTAACTTGCCAGTCGTAATGCGGTTTCTGCAGAGATGCAGGGTAAGGGCTATTTGCTCATCTCAGGCATTGCGTTTTGCACTATTAAGTTATCACCATAGAGTTCACCTTGAGAGCTGCTCCCTGAAATGTATAATGGTTAACCACTACAGGAGTTACCACCTTGCAATGCACAAAAGGCTATTGCTACAGCGGCTGATCCAAAGGCAAATTCAAAGCAACAGTTAATCACATTTACTATGTTAAAGGCATAGTTGGATTAATTTTGAGCAATACTAGACACGGCCCATGGAAGTCTCAAAATTGCATTAAAATAATTTCTGATGTCTTGCATTAAATGAGCTGTCGTGGAAGGGAAGGAGAGCTCTGTGAGAGGCTTACTTGGAATAAGCCCTGTTCCCGACTCTTCTCCAAGCGGTGTCACGCAAAGCTTCCCTTTCAGTGCTCGCATCCAAGCGACCGCCTTCCTGAACTTGTGAACTGTAAATTTAACGAGTTCAACAGGACAATTCTCGAGTGTAAAATAATATCCTTGTCTCCAGTTTGGGAACTCGCTGAAACCATCTATTCAGAGGGGCACTGCCGGGCTAAAATAATGCGGCTATTTAAAACACCGCCCTTGCCGGGGGGCATCTCCGGGGGTGGGCTCGGGCGGGGCGCGGGGGCCTGCCGGGAGGCTCAGGGCCGGGTCGGTCCGGGAGCCCCTGAGCGGCGGTACAGCGGCGGCTCCAGCCCGGTTTCCACCGAGACGGCGGAGGCCGGCAGCGACAGAGGGCGGGAGGGATGCCCAAGATGGACACGCCCCGCGCCCCCTCAGGTGCGAGGGTCCCGCGCCCCGCCCCGCCCCGCCCCGGCCCCGCGCCGCGCGCGCGCCCCCCGGCGCGACTCGCGCAGACGCGCGCGCCCTCCCCGCCCCCCCGCGGGAGCGCGCCTTCCCCGCGGCGCGGCGGGGCGGGGGCGGCGGGGAGGGGAGGGGATAGCGCGGGAGCGCGCCCGCCGCGGCTCTTCTCGCCGGGCTGCCGAGCGGGCAGCAGCAGCAGCAGCGGGAGGGAGAGCGCCAGTACCCCCTCGACCCTCTTCTCCCCGGGCACAGGGGCCGCACCTTCCCGTGAGTACCGACCTAGCCGTCTCTGTCACCGCGCCGCGCATCACGCTGAGAGAGCTGCCGCGCCCGCCGTCGCGCGCCTGTCACATCCCGACCGTATCCATCCCTCCGCACCGCCGGTGTGACATCCATCCCCCGCGCACCGCCGGTGTGACATCCATCCCCCGCGCACCGCCGGTGTGGCATCCCCCGCACCGCCGGTGTCACATCCCCCGCACCGCCGGTGTCACGTCCCCCGCACCGCCGGTGTGGCATCCCCCGCACCGCCGCCTCGGTGGCGAGGAGCCGCCCGTCCTCCGAGGGGGCGGGCGAGGAGGCAGCGCCGAGCCCGCCGGAGCGGCGGCGGCCGCTGCGGGGCTTTGTTGCGGCGGCGGCCGGTGGCACCTCCCGGGCCGGGCGGAGACGCTCCGCGGCTGCGGCGCGCCCACATCCCGGCGGGCTCGGTCGCCATTTCGTGCGCTGCCCGGCGGGGCCGAGGGCCGGGCGTGAGCGGGGAAGGAGCTGTCGGTGCTGAACTGCCGCGGTCCGCGTTTCGGCTCTTCCGCCTTTATTTATGTGCCGTACTTTTCTTCTTTCTTTCCCCGCTCCTCACAGTTGCGATTTTATTTAGGTATAAAAGAGCCACAGTGTGTCTGAATTGCGGGCTTTTCGTGTTTTCCCTATTGTGGCTTCTTGAAGGAGATTGATGCAGAATATCGCGGTGAAGTCTGTGCAGCAAGTGCACTTGTCTCTTTGATTATAAACTAATAATTAACCAAAGCTTCTGCTGTCGCTGTGGTCTTCAGCATAGATGTGTTAGTTTTGAAGTCCGAAATGTATTTAAACCAAGGCTTCGGAGTCTAAGTGTAAACAGTACCTGATTAATAATGCCAAGCTGTTTAAATATTTAAGATCATAGTGTGCTTCAGCCCAGTCAATAAGGCTGTTTCATATTGACAAGTACTTTGTGAAAAGAATGCTATTGCTTAGCTCTCTGTGTAGTTGGATAAAACAATGGAAAATGTGATATATAGCTCTGCAGTGAAACCTATAGATCATGACATAATGTTCCTTTATCTATAAAGGTCCAGCTTTTGTGTGTTTATTCAAAATAACCTCCTACTGAGTGAAAAAGCCAGTATTAAACACCTGGGTTTCTTTTTTTCTAATGTTCCCTGTCTTTGTGCATTTCTTTCTCTGTCTGATTTTGATTCTTAAGTATATTGTGGAAAAGGTAGATGAAACCTGAAAACTTTTTTTGTATCCAATAGGTGCACTATTAATAATTTCAACATCTTCCATAATTTAATGTAATAGACATGATAATTTATGGATAGTAGTTATATGGGTCTGTGCATAAAACAGGTCCCCATATGACATCAGAAAGCATCTGGACTGTCTTCTGAGTTTGAGAGCAGCTTATATGCCAAGAAGCCAGTCTTGCTTCAGTCTTTGGCAAAAGATATTGGCTGGAAGGAGAAGGGTAGTTTAGTGTTAAATAGCTCAAAGGACCTAGAAATTGGAAAACGGATTCACAGGTGCAGCATCTTTTTTAATATTTCTCTAATGTGTTTGATGTTATCATTTGTGTGAATAGACCTCAGGCATTTGTTTAGTTTTGAATAGAAATTGCAATGCAAGTGACCAGAGCTCCTAATGAGTGTGATGCTGAAGTCTTTGAAAGTTACTTATTTGTATTTCAAAGTACTTTGAAATTCTCTTGTGTGTCTAAAATTAGCTGTCAGGCTATATCAGTGTAGAACTGGGAAAGTGTTACATTCTGAGAATATTGAATCTAAAGAAGCAAACCCAGAAAGCTGCTTGGCAGTGACAACTTGGGATCCATTGAATGAATTCATATTCTGGGTTGTGCAAAGACACTGTAGCGAAGGGCAAGCTGTACAGTTGTGTGACCACATCTGATGGTGGAGCAGTATATACCAGCTGGTGCTAAGGATGGAGCTAAAACCTTCTTCACAACTTACATAAATCCACAACTAATCATACTCGTATTAATATCTTAGCTCTGTCATTAGCATTACTGGCCACAATAGAATTATTCAAAAGTAATAATGTTCAGTGTGAATGAGATCACTAGATTCTGAGTCTTAGATGCTGTTCCTTATCTTCTTGAAGAAAGTGTATTATTTATCACATATACCACAGCTTGTTTGACAAAAAAGGGCTGTAATAAGAAAACTGAGCTATTTTAAATGGTCTTAATTTTAAGAAAATGAAATAAATCCAGTGATCCACTGATACTGCCTGCTAGCTTGTTACACTGTGGTGTTTCTCTTTGGTGCTCAAAAAGGTGACTACAGAAGCTTTAGTAACCAAGTTAAGAGTTTCTTAGTGTTAATGAGATGTCTCTCTAATTGTCAGATGTTATTATTTTGAGGATTCTGATTTCAAGTCAGGTAATGCATATTGCCTGTTCTTTCTGCTTTAGTGAAATGACTCACCATGGTATCTGGACATAAAAGATATTGACTACACTAAGGGTTTGTCATTTTTTAAATAGATTATTGTGCAGCTCAAATAGCTCAATCAGCCTAAAATTCAAATGTTTTACCTGCACCTGTGAAATTGCTGTTATTTTGTAGTTTTATTACTCTGTCTCAAATCCCCTTGAATTGTGATTACTTCCATTATAATTACATAGTTCAGTAAAATTGTGCTCTTCAGTTTTCACTGGACTTGTTCATTTCTTCACATTTTATGAGCTGAGTTGGAAAAATGTTGGAAGTCATACCAAGGAAAGTATATCTTGGTAATGAAAGCTGAGGGAATAATGTAGGAGGTATTGTGTTGGGCAATATGCAATGAATTTGATTTTGCCTTCCTGAGTGGGATGATAGTATTTAAAAAATTCTGTTAATACTTTCTCTGCAGTGATAATTTGTTGCATTTGAAATTGTTAAGTGTGTGTATTGCCTATTCAGTTGAGTATTGAGAACATTGCAACTTCTGCATTTATGAATAGTGTCTCATAAATGTAATAATAAGGGAATTTGAAAAGAGTTAATCTCTAATAATAAGCTTAACGTGATGCACCGCAAGTTTTGTCCTGCAGTTTGTTAACCAGGAAAGGACAGTTGCAAGCTAGCTATCTTGCTTTCTTCTGAGCTACTGGAGGCTGGCTGAGCTGGCAGTTATTTACCTCAATAGAAAACTGAAAGGGAAAAAGTGAACAAAGGAGGTCTGTTTTGCCTGTCCCACTTGCTGGGCTGTTGTCTTTGCCCTTTTCAGTGAAGGAGGGGGTAGAGCTGGGTCAGAGTTGAGGAATACTGAAAAGGAATTCAAGTCTTATATTGAAATGTGAATGATAGCTTAGTTTGAGCACCGAACACATTTTTTAGAATTTTTTCTGTCTGCAGGAGCTTTAACTGACAGATGGTGATGGACTGGCACATAGACTGCTAGGAGGTACAGCTAGATATGTGTTCAGACCCTGCTTAGACACTCAGTAAACAAGTACATATCTGATGAGACTTTTAATACTGGAGATACTGATGCTAGACACTGTGTGACACACTAGACATTTGATTGTGTGAATTAAGGGCAGACCCCTGCAGCTGGCATACATTCAGGCTTACTTGTCTAGCCTAATTGCATTGCAAATACTCCTCTGGATTGATCTTTAGCTTCTCCCTTCTCGTAGATGTTGAATAAGTACAGAAATGTTCATCTGGATCCTCTATTAACTGTTGTTAAGAAGCTTTCAGTTTTGTTTCTTTTTTTTTGGTTTGCTGTATGAATTGGGATGTATCTTAGCATTCATTTTGTGAATACACTGTTTTCCTACACTGTTTTGGTTTTGAAATGGCTCAATTCATAATGTGGTTACAGCTTTCCCTTGTTAAGTTTTTAGTATGGAAGCACAACAGCTTGAATTATAAAATGTTTCTGTAACAGCTCACAGTACCCCCATTCTCCTTTAAGCAACTAAACTCTATATAAAAAAGCACCATTTGATGCAGAGCATTTCAAATGCATAAAAATAGTCAAGAGAGGAAAAAAAGGCTAGTTCAAATTATGAGGACGTGATAACTTTAAAAAACAGCCTAATTAGAAAGGAACTAGCTGTCTAAATTGTGAATTACATCAGACAGAATTGGTACAGATGTTGTCTCTCTAAATTCCGTAAATACTCATGTAAGACTGCTGAATTTGGATGCATCCTAATGGGAATTGAGTTGTCCTTATACTTTGTCTGCATCACTAGGTATACATGACTTTTAATTTCCTTGGGTTTAAAGAATGTAATTGTTATTGTTCAACAGCTTGTTTGAGAAAAAAAAATGGATCCTGATTGCATGAGTTAGTCATTGGCCACTAATTAGGTTTTTCTTGACAGCCAACCAAAATATTGACATACCATTTTCCTTTAGACTGTTACCTAAGCGAGGGCATGACAGTGTTTATCCACAAGTGCAGATTGTCTTTTTCTGATCTGTGCCTGTGACTTTAAACTTTCATTACTCTGTTTTCGGTGCTGCTGTGTTTGTCCAGTGTGATTCTGAGGGTTCATATAAAGGACTGCCTTTACAATGACAGAAAACTGTGGGGGTCTGTGTATTTGCAAAGGCAGTGTGTAATCAGTGAGTGCAGAAGTCAGCCTTTCAGTACCAGATCTGGAGTCAGGAAACATTCTGATGGTGGAGAACAATTCCATGGAGTTAACTGACCAGAGCACAGGTGCTGGCCAAGGGAAGGCTTCCCAATGAGGATTGTACATGGCCAGGGTAGTGGAAATCAACAAAATTCAAAAGAAGAGGAAAAAACAAATCTTGAGGAGGACCACTTTTCAAGATTGTTTAAGAGTTCAGTGGTGTTTATCAGTATGTTTGTACACAAGTTACCCTTTGTAACAGGATCAGTGGTTCTCTTCACTGTTTCTCCAGTTTAGAAGGACTAAAAAGGAGGGTTTCCCACCCTTCTGCTGTTCATATCTCTAAGACAATCAAAATGCAGGAGGTACTTGATGTGCATTCCTTCTTAGAATTTTCAAGTGATAGCAGGAA